GTCCTATTTGATCTTAGCATGAATTCTTAGATTTGATCTAGGGGAGTATGAAGGGCAAGCCTATGGGATCTCATTCATGAGCCGTGTCTTGCATAATCTCAACTGAGTATTTGTCCACACTTGATCCTCACATACTTTAAATTCTTGGTGCTTGGTTATTAGCTTGGAAATGGGTCTCTTATGTGCCAAACTAATTTGATTCTTGAAGCTTGTTGTTTTGTAGCAAGTTGGTTGGTGGTTTGAAAGGTTGTGCAAGAGAGAGCATGAGTAATTTGTATGTTTTGACTTGTGATTTTATTCCTTGGATTTGCTTGAGGACAAGCAAAAGCTTAAGTGTGAGGGGGTGATGTTATCACATCTTTTCTTGTTTTTATAGTTATTTTGAATCATCTTAGTATTTTAGTTCTTTAATTTTGCTTATTTAATACATATTTTCCTTGCTATTATCATTTAATTATGGTTCACACTTGTTTTGAATGTTTTACGGTGTTTGTTAGTGTTTTTGAACCATTGTAGGTCAATTCTATGAGCAAGGGAAGTTCAAGGATGAGTTTGGAGCAATTTTGGATAAGTTCGGGGCCCAGAGTGCTCGACGCGTCGAAAATTTCCAGAAAGTTTGGTGATCGAGACCTGCTGGTCTCGACGCGTCGAACGAGCGCCGCAACAATTCTTCCGAAGGCGCTGGAATCAAAGGAATTAAAAGGGGCGTTGTTTATCTCCAATTCATATTCCAAATTCCAATTCCAACTTCAATTAAATACGGCAATTTCTTTATTTAAATATAGGAATTATAATTTGAGTCCAATTTTGTACAAAATTCCTATTTCATCTCAACTTTGTACCCACTATAAAATCCCTCCTTCCTCAACCCTAATAACGGAGACAGAGAATTCAGAGATTCTTGGAGACAAGAAGGAGAGAAATCAAGAGCCACAAGTTGTCAAGGAGGAAGCCAAGAAGAAGACTAGGGAGATTTGAGAAAATCGTCTGGTTAATTCTTGTACTCTTTTGATGATTTGTAATTCTTTATTTATATTTGCTATGTATAATTTAGTCATGCTTGGCTAAATTCTTTAGAGATTCTTGGGTAGAAGTGTTTATGAACCTATGTGCCTGAGCTCTCAGTTTCTTTAATATATTATTATTTGGGTTTAATACTTGTGTTGCAATCGTGATAATATTGTTTGATGCTTGTAATTAATGGCCATAGTTACTAGCTTCATAGTCATGTTTGTGTCACCAATGGGAGTTGGGGCATAAATTAGGGTACACATAATTGCACCTAATGGTTGGACCTTGGGAAAGGGGAACTTATTAGGGGAAGTTTATTCTAGATTGTTGCCAATCGGAAGATGGTAGTAATTAGGAATAATTGAATGCTGATCTTCGATCTTATTGGGTGTTTAAGCCACGGGAGTGGAAATTCACTAGGAATAGAGATTACGGGAGTAATTCGATTCCACTTTGCATTCCCACACAAATCTTAATTCCAAACTAAATATTGCAAACGATAATTGGCACTAGGTGATTAAATACTTGAATCCCATGAATCTCAACTTCTCTCTAATTGTTTTCAAAATCCTGAACCTCTGTTTTATTTTATTTATTTTATTCCAATCAATCATCTAAGTAATTGTTAGGATTAGCTCTAATGAATAAGTTAGTAACTAGTGCTTGATACAACCACTTCCCTGTGGATCGATAACTCGTACTCCGAGAATTATTTGTTTGCAAATATACTACGCATCAATATATACTAGAGTTCAGGTGCGGCCTTAGTCTCCCATGCGGTCATGCGAATATATTAAAACTGTAAGATGAGCAGAGATCAAACGACTGGAAATCAATGAAGAAGAGAAATTACGCTGTGGCAATTTCGTAATTTCTTACCCCGTGTATATTTCGACATTGCATTACGTGCTAGTGTGTGGTGTGCATTAAGTAGTTTGTGGTAATGGTGCATTGATTTGTATTACACCACTCAACGGGATTGTCAAACTCGTCAAAGGGTTCAATAGACCCTTTATCGGGTGCTATTGTGTGGTGCATATTTGAGTACTCTGTGGTGCATTTTTGAGTACTCTATGGTGCATTTTTGACTGATTAATGGTGCATTGATTTGTATTACACCACTCAACGGGGGTGTCAACCCCGTCAACGAGGTGTATTATGTGCTAGTGTAACACCCCGAAATTTTAAAACTTTTGAAACTTATATAATAAAGGTAAATTCTCATTAAATCCCAAAACATAATATAATAGAGTACGGGGTGTTATGCCACACCTGGGCTAGAGAACTCAGGTGCATAGGCTAACTAACTAATATCCTCGATAATGTAAATGCATAAGCATGGCACGCAGGCCGAAAGGGAAACTATCTACTCTACGCTCCAAATCTCTAGCGCGCTCCAGTGTCTACTTCTCTGTGCTGAAAGCCAAATATATCTGTTCAGCGAGAGATGCTGGTAACCCACTCCAACGCGTTGAAATACATTATAGATAGATATATATATATATATACGAAAACCATTTTGAAGCAGGAAGATACATACTTAGGAGACACTAGTTTTAAAACCAAGAATAGACTCGACAGATAGGGATAAGCAAATTCAACAGTTATAATCAAGCATATAGAGATACTAGAATATATCCTATGGTCACAGATTCACTTCATCTCATTCATATCATCATCCCAATTCGATTCTCATCCCACACAAGCACACTTTAGTGGCGCCATAGGACCAATCGCATGCCCATACATGAGGGTCAGCGCATATAGCTCTAACACGGCCCCGCAGCACCCTGCCTCGTATCGCAATACGAAGGGGTCGATCGCAACCGACCGATGAACCGCAGCTCATCATAATGTTTGATCGCAACCAAACAGTGGACCGCAGCCCAAGAGTAGTCATCTGACCGCAGCCAGGAATATGAACCGCAGCTCATGTAAAACGTTTGATCGCAACCAAACGGTGGACCGCAGCCCGAGAGTGTAATTCTGACCGTAGCCAGCTTCTGAACCGCAGCTCAGGAGTAACCAATTTGATCGCAACCAAATTGGGGTAACATGCACACATAACACATAACAAGCACATGCAACCCATATTAACACATTGGGAAAGGGGAGAAAACGTATAACGAAACCTATGCGTGGTCATCCACGTACTAGGAATAATCCTAAGGGGTTCATACTTCTTTCACCTAGGCCAACGGGATACCAATTCAACTAGCATGCGATATATATAAGACTCATTTATCCTACGAACGGTACCCGAATCATCAAACTAGACTTAGGCACGATAAACGGGATCCGTTGGGACACCACGAGGGTCGGGGAAACATCAAACGGGGAAGCCGAAGACCCAAGTTGGGATAATTTCCAGCGGGTTGGTGGTGGACCACCCGCCGGCTGCCCGCCGGCGTCAGGTCTCCGGGCAGCGGGTGCCCGGCGGGCAGTCGCCTGCCCGCCGGCTGCCCGCTGCCGGCGACGTCTTTCTCGGGCAGCGGGTAAGTGGTGGGTCCCCCTACCCCCCACTGACTCTTTATCAAAATAAACGTCCCGGGATCCGTTGTGGAACCCAAAACCATGCTTAGACACTTTTAAACGCAATTGATGACACCACGTAGACAATTAACGGATCAAAGGCAAGAATCATATAGCACATATCCTATCATGACTTCTAAACATAATCAACACTCGAACATGCGAAATCCCACCCAATTATATCAAGAATATCACAATACGAAATTCCCAATTTTAACCTAGGGCTCTAATCATGTTCAAATCAATAAAACCATAGTTCATCTTTTAATCATCTAAACATCAAGATTCATCAAGAACATCACATAATCATCAAGAACCTTTCAATACCATCAAGATCATCAAGATCACTCATAAAATTATCTCACAATCATCAATATCATAAACGATTCATCAAGACACGAATATAGAGAGGAGGCCAAAGAAGATAATTATAGCAAGGAAAATAGGTTTTGTTGAGACATCGGTTACCTCTTAGCCTTAATTAATTTTCTTGGCTATGAAGGGTCTTTCTTTAAGATTCCTTCTTTCTTGATTTCTCCTAGGGGATTTCTTGGAACTTCTTGTGTGGTGAGAGATTATTGTGGTGTGGGTTCTAAGTGCCTCCTAGGCCCCCTATTTATATATTTAAGAGTACCAATTAGGGTCCAAGTGGTATGGGTTTGCTAATTATATTTTCTATAGGACTAGGGGATTGGTTTTAGGGATAAGGGCCCATGGACCATGGTGGACCTTTCATAATTAATTACTGGATTTTAATTCTTTCTTTTGGATAAATGATTAAATGATTAATTGGTTTTAGGGGTCGTAACACGGGGTGTTACAGCTAGTGTGTGGTGCATTTTTTAGTGTTCTATGGTGCATTTGGGGTTAACTTTGCATCGGTTCACACTCTAGGCGTATGAACCCTGACCATCTAAAACGTCGTTCCCGGTGACGGTTAAGCCTTGCAGATCCACAAACAATATCCACCTCCGAGCTGTCGAGGAAAGTCTTCTCAGGAGCTTTCAAAACGCCCCACACAGAAAACATTATCGGGCCGGCACATGGGCCTCTTAACCTCACCGGATTTAATAAGAACTCCATGCTTGGAACGGCCACCGTGCTGCGGCTATCTTTGCATGCAAGCATCCCCAGTAATGCCTACAAATATACATATATTGGGTAAGAGGTTTTCCCTGACTTTGTCCGTGTCAACAAACAATTCGAAAGACCTCAACTTTTTTAGGACTGGTCTGAGTCAAATAGCATCTCTGCTTTGCTTGTTCACTCCCGATACGCCTAAGCCGAATATAGGGATGATATGGTGTTTACCTAAGAAGAATAGCAAATTCAAGTTACCTTTCAAAGAGACAAGATACCGCATCAACTTCTTTCAGGATGAAGACATGTCGGCGTGGCAATAGGCTTCATTTCGTAGACTGCCTTCCCAGTCGTTAAAACACTGAGCGAAACAATTTGATCTTGGTTTATTCGAGATTGTTCCTTTTAATCGTAATCAAAGATGTTTTCTTGTCTCTTGTTCCTGCTTTATCTAATTTTCTTGGATTTGAGCTTTTGGGCGTCACAGGCAGCCCTCTACCTTCTATCCCATTTCATTCCATCATCTCGTATTTGTACTGCATGCCTAAGAGCAAAGACAGATGCACTATCTCCCGAAGTGGAATTTTGATTTCCCTATTGGATGGGGGTACTTGAGGCCCCCATTCTCTCTTAAATAATTAAAGCTCGCCTGCAAAGTACCACAAGGAGGTAAATCAACCTAAGTTGCCCATAACGGTCTAGTTCAACTAAAAAAGCTGGAATTCAAACTCGTGACTTTGTAGTGACAAGTTTGTATCATTAGTTAACTTGGTTGGGTTGCTCCACAATAATTATCTTCATTCTATACAAACTGTGCACTAATTCTCGCCTGCAAAGTACCACAAGGAGGTAAATCAGCCTAAGTTGCCCATAACGGTCTAGTTCAACTAAAAAAGCTGGAATTCAAACTCGTGACTTTGTAGTGACAAGTTTGTATCATTAGCTAACTTGGTTGGGTTGCTCCACAATAATTATCTTCATTCTATACGGGCACTAATTCTTCTAATGTAAACCCTTAGTTGCAACTATGGCGTGATGGATAAATGAGCGTAGTGCTCTTATGAAAGAGGAGAGAGTGCTATGCATGTATGAAATGCAATCCCCTACAGGGATATATATATATATATATATATATACCTTGCTGCTGTCAGTTTTTCCATCTGGCTTGGCACCATAATTAGTGATACGATAGGTGTGGCGACCATTAACTACAGACACAGACACAAAAAGTATTACAAAAAGACACAGCCTAGGATGAGAAAACAAACTGAAACCCATTTTCTCAACTCTGATCTATATTTTCTTTTACTTTTTTTTTGGTCCATTGACTATTTATTGTTGCAGCCAGGGCCGGTCCGATTATTTTATGGCAAATTATATCGTGCACCGTGGTGCATAATGAGTTTCTAAACGACGTCGTTTTGTTTAATGAAAACAAACGGCACCCGTTTCGCACCGTTCCGCAAAAAGTAATTCTTTTATTCAATTTCATTTTGTATACACTGCAGTTTAATTTCAACACAACTACAGTTTCATTTAGATATAACTACAGTTTCATTCGATATTTATACACTCGAATATGTAAAAATATTATTTAATTTTATTTTATACACATTATAGTTTCATTAAAACACAACTGCATTATCATTTCGATATAACTACAGTTTCATTGCACAATATACACTCAAACATGTGAAATGTTATTCAGTTTCATTTTATATACACTGCAGTTTCATTTCAACACAACTACAATTTCATTTCAATTCAATTACAGTTTAATTTGATAATATAAAAATAATACGTGAGACAATGTCAGTTTAGATACATTGTAGTGTTAGTTTAGATACACTGTAGTGTTAATTTAGATACACTGTAGTGTCAGTTTAGATACATTGTAGTTTCAGTTGATAATTAACACACCAAACATGTGCGCTCCGTTAACCGGCGCGCCGTTTCTTTACTTAAAGAAACGACACCGATTTTTGGACCGCGGTCCACAGTATAGTTGCTGTCATTTTATAGTCCCAGGGCATACCAATCAAAATGGACCCTATATTAAATTAATATATATTTTTTTAATTAAAGTTTAAATTAAATAAGAAAAAAATGCTAATGTCAAATAACTTGAAATAAGATTCATAAGTTTTTAACAATTTTACATACACATAAAAACAATTATAGATGCATCCCAAATCCAAAATAATCAATAATTACACCGATTCTTTCATAAATAAAGAATTTTAATTTATAAAAATAAAAAAATAATTGAAAATCAAATGAGCTTATAGACAACCACCTTATTATTATTATAATCAATAATAAAGTAATTATTAATAAAAATTTATAGAACAAAACTTACAAATAAGAGCATAACATAAAGTCTTAATTATTTTGAGCAATAAATCAAAACACTCAAACGTGATCAAAGATATTCATAATAAAATATGAAACATAATTAATTAGCATGGATAAAATAGTTTGAATATAAAAAAAATAATAGATCGCACATTTTCTATATTAAAATTTCATATTTATAAATACTTTTTTTTTTTAGTTGGAATTGAACAATTTCAAGCTTTTCTAGATTAAGTTGAACACGATAACGCACAATTGAACTTATATACTACATTGACTAGATAATTCATAAAAAAATAAATAAATTATCTTTTAAAATATTTTTTTCATAACTAAATCACAAAATATATTACATATACACAACTCATTATAAAGTTCACAAAATAATACATATTCTAAACATTAGTAAATTATTTGAATAAAAATAAATTCAAAATTTGATATGAATCACAAATCAATCTATATTATAAATTTCACTATAATTATAAAAAAAAGTATAAAAAAAAATTACACATTGAATTTTAAAAAATACAAAATAGATATAGAAATAAATTTCATAAGTTACAATTTTAATACAATATAATAATGAGTTAATACCCAAAATGGTCCTCGACAATAGTGGTTTTTCTCAAATTCGTCCTAAACGACTTTGGTGACCTAATATAGTCCCAGACTTTTATGTTTCGCTCAATTTAATCCACTGTTTGTTATTTCATCAAATTGGTGTTAAATAAATGGATAATTCAATAATATCAATATTGACCTTTCTTTATTTTCAACCTACGAAGTGAGAAATCCCTCTATCTGGTACGAATTACACCCAGAATTACTCTTAGACCTACGAATCAAATTTTATATTCGCAGGTTTAGGAGTGATTCTGGAGTAATTCGTAAAAAAAAAAAAAAAAAGGATTTCACACTTCACGTGTCTATGAGTAAAGAGATGACAATATTAAAATTACTGAATTGTCTATTTATTTAACAACAAATGGACGGAATAACAAATGAGGGACTAAATTGAGCAAAAATACAAAGTCTGGGACTAAATTGAGTAAAAACACAAAACTTTGGGACTACATTAAGTCACCAAAGTTGTTTAGGACAAAATTGAGAAAAACCACTATAGTTGAGGACATTTTGGGTATTAACTCATATAATAATATTTCTAGAGGGAAAGTTTTGTATAAAAATGCTTAGAAATAAAAATAAATTTCATAAGTTACAATTTTAATATAATATAATAATATTTCTAGAGGGAAGGTTTTGTATAAAAATGCATATGAGGGGATTTGATGAATAGTATATTTCAATAAAAATGTCTTATCAACTAAGACAACATAGATTTCAATAACGTCAATGTACATTATATAATTATACGAAATTCTATAGTATATATATAAAGGTTATAAAATAAGGTGGTGGGCCCCTTCCAAGTGTGGGCCCTAGGCAAGGGCCCAATCCTTGTCTAGGATCGGGTCTGATCATTATTGTGTAGATCATGGTCCACACAAGTTGTATGAACCATATTTTGTATACTGTAAAATAATGTACATTCAAAACAAAAATAATGTATATTCAGTATAAAAATAATGTACATTGTATTCAGAAGATATACATTATTTTTGTACGGAGCGTACATTTTATTGTATAATGTACATACAGTACAAAAATAATGTACATTTAGTATATTAAAAATGTACTTTTTGTTATGGTTCACATAACATTGTATGGACCATAATTTGCCGGGTCGGGTCTGGTTGAAGCACATTTGGTCATTGACTATGGCCCTGTTTGGTAAAATGGCTGTTAGCTGATAGCTGTTTGCTGTTAGCTGATTGTGTTAATTAGAGAGTATAAATAGTTGATAACATTAGCTGATTGTAGAAAAGTGTTTGGTAAATTAGCTGTTTGCTGATAGCTGTTTGATATAATTTCTTTTCTCAAAAAGCTAATTGAAAAAGTTGCAAGGAGTAGCTTTTTTAATTTTAGTCTTTTGGAGTTGCAAAAAGCTAAATAACCAAACAGTTATATTGATATTTTAATTAAATGAAACAATTAATAGTGATCAAATAAGCCAAAATTGGCCTATAGGCCAATTTTTTACCAAATAGGGCCTATTGCTTTTTTCAAATTAGGTGCATAACTTTCTAATTAGTATCAGATTTGGTCCTTCAATCCAATTTTCCAGCCACCTATTACCAGAATTCCAACCGAAAAAATAATGTGGTGTAATTAAAAGGGTATTTTGATCCTTTCAAATATATTTTATTTTCCTCTTTTATTTTTCTTCTTCTTCTCCCTTTCTAATTACAATATATTAGTTTTTCAGTTCAAATTCCTGTAATATGTGGCCGAAAAATTAGATCGGATGACCAAATCCGATACTAATTAGAAAGTCATGCAGCTAATGAGAAAAAATAATAGTCAAGGACCAAATGTGCTTAACTATAATAGTCAAGGGACCAAAATGATATTATTTCCTCTGATATTTTTTTTTCAAATTTCATCCTCAAGTTAAATATTATTTTAAGAGTTAATCAACGATTTGGTCCCTCAATTATTAGCGAACTGTCAATGTATTCCCTCAATCGCTTATTCATCGATTTAGTCCCTGAAATCAATTATTTTTAGTTGATTTACCCCCTCCGGTCGTCTTCCGTCAACCAGCCAGTGAGAACTCCAATTAACCATGGGCAATTTGGTCTTTTCACGCCATCTTCTTCATCCGCTGACCAAGCTTCGGCCAAAAACGCTAGTCACCGGGAAAATGGAGCCTTGAAGGCCTCGAGGAGCGTCATGAGGGCGGAGATATTGCTATGAACATACGAGTGGGGATTCTCCATCGCATATCTCACCCCGGCCTACGCCCCCCTAGTCTTATTGACAAGCGATCGCGACATACTGCCGAGGTCTCCAGTTGCGGCCGCTGTCCGAGCTCCACCATTAGCCACAGCATGATGTCGAACTGTGTCCTGACTAGTAGGGCGAGGAGCGCTGGCCCCGTCGACACTCCCACCACCAGCTGAAGCCTTAACCGACTCCGTATCTGCCCGGGAGCTCCCCAGAGGCGCAACTACCTCCAACAATTCTGAAAGTTGGCGATCATTAAATTGGTTGGTGAATTGTGATCGTAACATATCCCATAGATTATGCCCTTCCTTCGATTGTCCATGCAACACCTCCACGGCTAGAGAATCCTCCATAGACGAAGGGCGACTCGGACCACCCGACTTCGCAACTGGCAGCTGTTCTTCAAATTCGACCATGGCGATCACTCCGCGGAGGCTCCGCTAGGGGCCATGGACGGCCTATACGATTGCCGGCGTTGCCATAGGCGAATCTGGACTGCGATCGTGAAAGTGCTCCAAAGCCGTCCAATCGCTGCGATGTTGATGGCGATGACCTGGGGGAGGCCGGACGAAGGCTCTAGACCGACGGGGCAGTGATAAATTATAGTATGATAACACTCGACGCAAGCAATACCTTACAAGTCTTGATTTTGATAAATTACGATGGTTGCCATATTTTTGAGGTGAGATGGCGTGAATAGACTAAATTGCCCATGGTAAATCGGAGTTCTCATCGGCTTGTTGACGGACTACCGGCCGGAAGGACTAAATTGACTAAAAACAATTATTTTCGGGGACTAAATCTATGAATAATCGATGGAGGGACTACATTGACAGTTCGCTAATAATTGAAGGACCAAATCGTTGATTAACTCTTATTTTAATAAACATTAAATTTAAGGGTAATAATGTAAAAATATTACTTCTTCACAGTGATGAACTCCCAATGTATTAAATTTATCAACTCAATTTGTCCATCTCAAATTCTCAACAACAGGCTAATTTTTACATTATTATTCTTAAATTTAATGTTTATTAAATGAATATTTAACTGAATGACCAAATTTAAAATAAAATCAATAGTGAAGGACCATTTATGGTCATATTAAAAGTCAGGATGGAACTTGGTAGGTAGACGTGAGATTTAATTTGAGAATATAAATATTCAATAATAAATAAAAATGAATTTTCCTAAAAATATAGAGAGAGAAGCTTAAGCAAAGATTATCGAATAAATTAATTGGTCACTTACCTATGTGATGGTTTTATCGAGATCAAGTCCACCATAAACCAAATACATATGTATAGAATCAATCATTATATTATTGCGAGGACTGTGGTCCACACAACTGTTTGGATCATAGTTCAAAAAGTCATAAAGTACATTATTATAGCTCATAAAATACATTATTTTAACACATAAAGTACATTATTCTAACTTATAAAATACAATATCTTATCCCAAAAATTTAATTATTCTAACACATAAAGTACATTATAAATTATTCTAACTCATAAAATACATTATTCTAACACATAAAGTACATTATTCTAACTCATAAAACACACTATCTTACCTAAAAAATTCATTATTCTAACACATAAAGTACATTATTCTAACAAATAAAGTACATTATTCTAACTCATAAAATATATTATCTTACCCAAAAAAATCATTATTCTAACACATAAAGTGTGTTAACCATTATCCTAACTCATAAAATACATTATTCAAACACATAAAGTACGAGTTAATGTCATTTTTGGTTCTAGACTTATTGGGGCGTGGACAGTTTTCATCCACCATAATAAAAATTGCCAATTTGTAGCCACTGTTATTGGTCGTTGGACACTTTTGGTCGCCCGTCCCTTGTGCCGTTTGTTGACCGTGAAAATGAAGGGCATTTTTGTCTTTTAATGTCTTCTTCTTCTAATAGTCAACTATCTTCTTCTGTTGACCGAGGATAGTCAGCTAACTACATTTCTCATCTCCATTTCTTCAAACATCTTGCCTAGAATTCTTCTTTTCAGTCATTGATGCAGGGTAAGGGATGCGCCACCCACAATTCTTCTTTTCTCACTCTCATCCTAATCGCATCCCTAATAGCTCCCATTAAACTCCTTGGTCTACCTCAGAACGACCGTGCCCAGCTTCCCTCCGTGGCCGATAATGATGGCGAAACAAACACTCCACCCATCGATACCCATGTCACCGATTTATCTACCAAAGCACAAGGAATTAAGCTCGACCCGAGGCCTTTGATGGGCTTCACCGAGAATTGCTCTCCCACATTCCTCTCCTCTAGCAACCCCTGCTTGGACTTTTTCTTCCACGTGGTTCCGGATACACCGCCGTAGGAATTGATCGAGCGGTGGCCGACTGTGCGCTAAACTCCGAGGAAGCCGGAGGTCCCCGATCATCAATCCGACAAGCGACGAGAGGTCTCCGCACATCCCCAACCCCATCCAAACCATCTGATCGACCATGTAAGGGCCGAAACGCCGGCGAATCCTCCATTGACGAAGGTGTGATCGAACTATCGGCCAGTGCAGAAACCCTCAGATCAACAATCCCATCGTTTGCGGACGATCTCGACACCTTCCCGACACCATCTAAGCCCTCTGATTGTCCATGTAGTGGCCCAATTACCGGTAGAGTCGCCATTGACGAAGGATTGCCCTCATCGACAACTAATCCTCCACCGCCATCAACCACCGCGTCGTCCTCGATCGCATCCAACTCCACCGTTTCCTCCACCTCTGGTCTCCTCCCATCGCCTTCTCCTTCTGGACGCATCCTTCGACACTCTGCCATAGCCATAGCATGACCAAATCGACCACAACTAGGGCAATATGCCGGCACTTTCACCACCTCAATCCTCTGCCAAAATCCATTCAATTCCCCTTCACCTCCAACAATTTCCACCAAAACTCGATCAATCAAAGGTTTAGAGACATCAATTTCTACTCTAACTTTGGCCATGCTCGGCCTAGATCGCCTGATGGTTGCCAAGTCTAGGGGTGCGACATTGGAGAATATCTGTTGCCTCCCCCCTCTGGTGTCCACTTCGCGAACCAAAATCACTTTCAGAGATCCAACCTGCAGTGAGCGACTCAACCTCGCCGTTGCTTCGATTCCACTCTCGCTTCTAAACCTCTTCGTCAGTGAGCGACCAACAAAACAACGTCGTTTATGCATAGTATCAAAAGAATAAGCTGAATAAAATGCCCCTCTCATTTAGACGGTCAACAAACATATTTTTAGACGGAGGACCAAAAGTGTCCAACGACCAATAAAAACTTCCAATTTTATTAATAGTAATACAAGGTTCAAGAACCCGTATAAATAGAAGTATGTAGAAAAATAAGCTACCATAGAATGTATGTATCTATGCTAAGCTACCACATACAACTAACATCTCAGCCGCAATGATTTGGACACTGACAATGATCAAATTTCCCATTAAAATAGTAGCAAGCTGCTTTCGTGGGTTGATGACCATTGCATACTATATTCAAGCTATTGATCTTTATGTCTTTACACGGCACTTTTCCGCTGCAATTGAATTTCGCAGACAAATCGTCTTGGGAGCTCCCATAAATGTTTAAGTATCTGATGTCTGAGATTTCAACTGATGATTCCCCCTGTTTGATCATATCGTACACACACATTAAATATTAAATAATTAATTAATTAATTAATTAATTCAATTTAATTTTTGGGCCCCACACTCCCAAATACAAGTGCGCATAAGAGATCTGTCCACTTTGAACATAATCCTCACACTATTTACTATTTTATTCCTTCAAATACTATATACTAAATTAGGGAGCTATACCTGATGTTGGCATTCGTGGTTAGGACAGTAGTGTTGATTGATGAGAATCGGGTTTTTAACATCATTCAAACTGATGTCTTGATAGGTAACGTTGTAGACCTTGCTGGGAGTAGAAGGTGCATATGTTTTGATCCTAAGCCCATTTGTGGTGCCTGTGATATTGCAATTCTTCACAATAATTCCACTCACATCTTCTTCATTTTCACGTTTTCCTATGCTTCCAATGCTAATGCCATGGCCAGGACCACAATTCACCTCACTGACCACAACGTTTGTGGTTCCTGGCCCAAACGAAATGCAATCGTCCCCTGTCCCAATATCCACATTATTGACTTGCACAAATTGTGACTGGCTGAGGTGAATTCCGTCGGTATTTTTGCTATCCGCCGGCGCCGTTATTCTTATATTTTCAATCTCCACGTGTTGACTTTTGAGGATTTTAATGTTAAAAAATTTACTGTCCCGTGAAGTTATCCCTTCAATGCGTCCATGCATGACATTATCGAATTTCAAATTCTAAACATCAATAATTCAAGAAAAAAAAAAGTAGGTATTAGAATTATATTTATTTAATTAATTAAGAAAGCAGAAACGTGTATTAGACCGTCTCACAAATCCTTTTTTGAGAGACGTCAGGTCAAGATGCAAATATAATATTTATACTGAAAAATTAAATATAATACTAATCATGAATAAAATGTTTATTACTTATATAGACAAATGTAATACTTTTTTTAAAAAAATATAATACTTTTACATTTTAATTTAAAAGTATTACACTTTTCTTCATAAGTATTACATTTTCTCCTATAAGTAACAAAAGGAAAAATGTAATACTTTTTAATGAAAAATGCATTACCTTTACATTAGCTCGACCAGATCTGACCCGACATGTCGTACAAATAAGGATCCATGGGACGGTCTCAGACAAGTGCGATTCAATTAAGAAGGCAAAAACTTGTATGAGAGACCGTCTCGCAGATCCTTGTGCGTAACACAGATCGGATCAAGATCAAATGTAATTCTTATACTAAACAATGTAATACCAATAAGGAATAAAATGTTTATTACTTATATGGGAAAATGTAATACTTTAAAGAAAAATGTTATATTTTTAAAAGTATTTAAAAAAATACATTTTTCTTTATAAATAACAAGTATTTGCCAAGACCTTGTGGTCTAATGGCACTCGGATTGGACTCCCATATGGGAGATTGTGAGTTTGAACCTACTAATACTTTATTTCTAATTAGTATTACATTTTTCATTATAAATATTACATTTTCATATTGACACAACCCACCTACGGATAAGTTTTCGTGTGAGGGTCCCACAAGAGTAATCCAATTAAGAAATGCGGGATATTAGATAGTATATCCAGGAAAATTAAATGAATGTATATACATACCGTAGGAAAAGGTTTGCAGTTGGGGTTAACTTTGCATTGGTTCACACTCCAGGCGTATGCACCCTGACCATCTAAAACGCCGTTCCCGGTGACGGTTAACTGTTGCAGATCCTCAAACAGTATCCACTCCGGGCTGTCGAGGAAAGTCTTCTCCGGAGCCTTCAAGACGCCCCACACAGCAAACGTTATCGGGCCGGCGCATGGGCCGCTTAACCTCACTGGATTCAGTAAGAACTCCCCGCCTGAAACGTCCACTGTGCTGCCGCTATCTTTGCATGCAAGTGTCCATGCTGCCAGTAATGCCTACAAATAAATAAATAAATAAATAAATAAATAAATAAATATATATATATATATATATATATATATATATATATATATATATATATATATATATTGAAAGTACAAATCAGATTAGAGAGCGTGAATTATTTCAAGGTGACGAAAGAAACCCGCAATTACTACTTGAAGATGTGCAATGGGTAAACTACTCCTCCTAGCTTGTAAAGTTGTAATCCTAACCCGCAAAGGACTACGAGGAGGTAAATCAGTCTAAGTTGCCCATAGCTGACTGGTTCAACAGAGAAAGCTGGAATTCAAACTCGTGACTTTATAGTGACAAGTTTGTATCATTAGCAGGGCCGTATTTTAAATTTTGGTGGCCCTGTTCTGGTAAATAAATGTGGCCCTACCAAAATCACAATTTTTAAAATCAATACATGCAAGTTTCGAACCTTTGACCTCCAAGTTAAAATACAATAAATACACATTTTTACCATCTCTTCATAGAACTTTTTAAGTTTAATTGAAAACTCTTAATTTTTATTTCTAAACTAGCTAGATAAAAATTAAATATCGGACCTATAAAATTTGGGGCCCCTCTAAAATTGGGGGCCCTGTGCGGTAGCCCAGCTTGCACAGCCTAAAATCCGGCCATGATCATTAGCTAACTTGGGATTACAAACTTTGCACTGATTCTTCTAAAGTAAACCCTTAGTTGCAACTATGGAGTGATGGATATATGAGTAGAGCTCTTATGAAAGTGGAGAGAGTGGTATGCATGTATGAAATGCAACCCGGCCTACAGGGATATATATACCTTGCTGCTGTCAGTTTTTCCATCTGGCTTGGCACCATAATTAGTAATATGATAGGTATTAAGGCGACCATTAACTAGAGACACAGTCACAAAAAGTATTAGCAAAAGACACAGCCTAGGATGAGAAAACAAGCTGAAACCCATTTTCTCAACTCTCTATATTTTCTTTTACTTCTTTTTTGTCTGGTGATGACAATGATTTGAGGAGCCGAGGTATTTATGTTGAGTAATTGGTTAAGTTTATGGTAAACTAGTAAATAATATATGCAACGGATTCTATTTTCTAAAAATGAATTTATATTTGTTTCAAAAAAGATAATGAATTATATTTTTTCCTATATTGGTACCATATTTCCAAGTATAGTAATTAATTAATTATTAAGATAATTTCAACAATGGTCTCTTAACTATTGTCATATACCAATTTTTATCCCTCAATTTTGAATTGGAACATAAATGATCTTTTGACTATCGATCTTTACAAATTTTGACTTTTAAATTAACCATGAGTGGTCCGATCTCTTGACTACTGATATATATTTTTTTTTCTTTCAAATTTGGTCCTCTAGTTAAATATTATTTTAATAAACATTAAATTTAAGGATAATAATGTAAAAAATGTTAGTTCTTCACAATGATGAACTTAATGTATTAAATTTATCAACTCAATCTGTCCATCTCCAACAACAAGCTAATTTTTACATTATTATACTTAAATTTAATATTTATTAAATATATATTTAACTGAATGACCAAATTTAGAACAAAATTAATAGTCAAAGGACTATTTATAGCTATATTGAAAGTAGAGGACAAAAATTGTTGGGTAGACGTGATATTAAATTTGAGAATATAATATTCGTTAATAAATAAATATGAATTTTGCTAAAAATATAGAGAGAATCTTGAGCAAAGATTATCTAATGAATTGGATGGTCACTTACCTATGTACATATGTATAGAATTAATCATTATTGCCTAGACCGTGGTCCACACATCAATGCTCCTCTTATATAAAGGAGCTCAAGAGCTCCTCTTTCCAAACATTTTCAATGTGGGATCAAAATGATCCAGCATAATTTACAAAGAGAGCTTGTGGCTCCCTTTTGTATTCTTCTTATTAATTTTAATTTTAATTTTTTATATCGTTTTGTTTGAATTATTATTACTATTATTATTATTATTATTATTATTATTATTATTATTATTATTATTATTATTATTATTATTATTATTATTATTTATAAATTCGTCAAAATTTTAACAAATTCGTCATTTTAACATTTTAACTTTAATTAAAACGTCAAAAATATTACGGAGTATATAATAACTCAGTGGTTTGCTCCAAACAGCTAAAAAATAATACAACACATACATTTTGGATTAATCTTTCACAACCCCCACTA